TCTAAATTGGTTGTTTGCTATGTGGGCTTTGGGCATTGGCTATGAATAATGATAAAGTTGGAATCTTTTCTCTAGCTTGGTGTGTATGAGTTCTTGATTTTGTTCTATTGTTATTGGATTTATTGTTATTTATTTATTTATTTTTCTTGCTGGGATTTATCCTATACATTCATAAAAGGTGGTAGGTTGGTGGGGTTGACTTACAATTCTTCTAAAAATCAAGAATTTGGGCGTTTCTGTAGATTTGATGAAATTCCCTCCTTCTGTTTAGGTTGGTCAAGTCTTTACCACCTTTTTATTTTGTCTTAGTTGTGGGTTCGAGGGTTTTGTCACCTTTGGGCTTTTAAGTTTATATAAGTTTAGATTTGATTATCCCGTTTTTCGGGGTTGTGGTTTACGGTGAGATTCTTGATTGAATTAATTGGTGAATTTTGACTTATGTGATGAACTTATCCTCTTAATCGATTGTTGATTGCTGTCTTCAGTTTCGGGGGATTTGTTTTGTCAAATGTTCATTCTTTAGGATTTGCTGAGTTAGTTGATACAAGTGTTGGAAAAGTCTACTTTTAGCGGTGTGACGAATGTTGAAGTCTTTTGCTTTTACATTTTTTATATGAGAATCCCGTATGTTTGAAACTCATCCACCGTATGTTTCGATGTAATAACATAAGCATTCTCTGAATTGGCATTGCGAATCAATTACTCACCTTCGAGTTAAGAATGTTTGTGGCATAACTGATTTTCTTCGTTTATTTGGTGGTTAGGGAATGTGATATTGGATGAGAATTACATTATTTTTTTATTTTTTTTTATAAGTTTTCGGTTATGCGGTACTTTCTAATTTATCTCCATGTAATAATGAGGTCATAATCTAAATTATTGCATTGCCTTTTAGGAGAAGTCGAAACAGCAATGGTGAGCATTCGAAAACGCAGGCTCTTAGCAATGTGCTCAGGTATTCCCAAAAAACGACGTGCTTATCTTTTTGGAATGTTTCCGTATATATTTGATAATTTTATCGTACTTTATATAATTTGGTAGGTCAAAACTCTGCCACGGCTCCACTTCCACGGGGCGATTTTGAGCAAGGAAACGCACCCGCACCCGATAACTGTGCCGAGAATAAGAGACCAGTCACTATTCATCCCCTGCCTTTAAATAACGATATTTACAGTCCGAAAGAAGTAAGCTATGATTTACGATTTGCAAATTAACTCATTTAAAATTAGGTCGTACATTAATTTCGTGGTGCTAAAAAACAAGATCCTATTTCATTATGTTTCCGTTTGCTGCATTTTAACTTGAATGACTGCTGCTACCATTAGTTTATAAGACTCGATTAGACATGCCACATGGATTATAGCAGTAGTTCATTAATTTTGCTTTATATATGCGTATATATATTTTGCTTATATATGTGTGTATATATATATATTCCTAGGAAACCATGATGGAAGCTGGATCTGGTTCATCGAACGTTTCTGCTTCGAGTCCGTCAAAAGAGTATCAAATTCAACATTTCCCTGGTTTGTTCTTTATTCGTTTGTGCCTCCAATTTGTGGTTTTCTCGATTCACTCTTTTATATACGTGTTTCTGCGTATGTAGTTATACAAATTATTGTGTTGATAATTAATTGAAATTGGATCGTATATATTTATTTTTCTTTGTCTTTAATAAGAAATTATATCGATTTCCATTGCATTAAAAACAGAGGTTAAACGAAGAAAGAGGCATAGGAGGAAGCACGTGGAAAATCAAGAACCGTGTATAATGAGAGGCGTCTATTTCAAGAATCTGAAATGGCAAGCTGCTATTAAAGTCGAGAAGAAACAGATCCATTTGGGAACTGTCGGCTCTCAAGAAGAAGCCGCTCGTTTGTATGACAGGTATTTATTATTAATTATTATTACAGAATCGCGCCCACCGAAATGTAATGAGAAGTCTTCCATTTAACACCAATTCTTGTGGCGAATTGCACTTAACCCCCTCGAGAGATTCAATTTTCTTGCACTAAGATCCTTGCAATGTTTATACATTGTGATCGTTTGGTGTTTGTGGAGTTTAAAGAACTTAAGACGGGATCTACGAAAATTTGCAGGGCTGCATTCATGTGTGGAAGAGAGCCAAACTTTGAACTATCCGAGGAAGAAAAAAATGAACTGAGGAAATTCAAATGGGAGGAGTTCTTAGCTATTACTCGTTCCGCCATCACTAACAAGAGTAAAAGTCTCTCTCTCTCTCTCTCTCTCTCTCTCTCTCTCTCTCACACACACACACACACACACACACACACACACATATATATATATATGTGAGATTTATTTCATTGCAATGAAAAAGTCCAATAAAATTTGCAATATTTGGAATCTGCAGAAAGCCAGAGAAGAAGTGGGACCGGTGCACGAAGAAAAGTCGAAGACGACGATGATTGGGAGAGTGATGAGATATTGGCCCCTTGACCCCCTCAGCCCCCACTTCTGCCTCACACTACCACTTGTTCTTTTTTAGCTACAAAGCTGGAAAAAAAGAAAAGAAATTCATTTGAGTTGCTATATTTGTTTAGTTTGGCAGCCATTATTATTATTATTATTATTATTATTATTATTATTATTATTATTATTATTATTATTATTATTATTATTATTATTATTAATATTGATGTTATTATTTTTGTTGGTATATAAGTGCCCCTATTTAGGGCAACAAGATCCATCACATGGAATTCTTTGTGCAAGAAAAATTAGATTACTATGTTTTGGTTCTTGTAAGAGATGATTTTAGAGTCACACCATTGGATTATATATTTATTATCACTTTATATTTGTCTTTTAAATTTATTGCGTTTGTTGAATCTTCTGTGGTTTTACTATAGCCTATAGCTCGAGAACACAAAATTACGGGTAAATTACGAAAATACCCCTAAACTTAGGCCAAATTACAAAAAATGCCCCATTTATCCGTAATTACTATAACTCTCCCAATGTTTGTTTATGTCTTCATTGATCCCCTTGAAGTGTGATTTTTCACGGAATCTTTTTGACCCATGGATATTTCTTGAAAATGCCAATTATACCCCTACTGACGAATTACGGGTATTTGGGGTGTTTTTCATAATTTAGCTTAAGTTTGGGGGTTTTTCGTAAAAATAAATAAAAAATAGTTTATGTGATTTCATTTTAACAAGGGACAATATGAGCTGGATAATTAAAGAACAAAAACCATTAGACAACCTGGAATTTTTGTAATTTCAAAATTATGTTCTTTTATAGTTCACTAATATCCCATAATTGAATTTATTTTGTCTCCATTAATGCAAATTGAATAATTAAAAATTTAAAAATAAATAGACAAGAAGAATAAATAATTTATTTCTTTCCTTTGAAAAAATAATATAACAAAGCAAAAAAAAGATTCTTTGTGGCAGCTGTAAAATCTAAGGCAAGAAACAATATACGAAATTTGGTTAGTAATAATTGCAGAATCATATGTAATTTCTGCTGACAACTCATCCCAAGATTTATGTTTCCATATTTCAATCCCACAATTTATTCATATAAAAAAACCCCACAAATAATTCAATATGAAAAATAAATAAAATTATATTATTATTATTCTATTGACCATGGATTTCGGAGTAATCCGTCCAAGGCCGCCGGCAAAAAAACCACAGCCGCCGCCACCCAAACCCCCCGCCCCTCCGGCCGGCGGAGAACCACCAAAACCACCACCACCCCAAGGCGGCCCTCCGCCGGGCGGACCAACAGGACCACAACCTCCGCCGCCGCCACATGGAAAGCTGCCGCAACAACCTCCGCCGCCACATGGAAAGCTTCCACCGCCGCCGCCGTACGGCCCGCACGGGCCGTACATGGAGGAATTCGACCGGTTTTCACGGAACGAGCGTTTGAGAAGTATGGAGTACATAAACGCGAGAACATGGAGGATGAACTTCGGGGAACACCCTAATGATAATTATAATTATAATTACGATCATAATCCTAATTATAATTATAATAATTACGGTAATTACGATCACATTAATAATAATAATCATCCATTTCGATTACAAGGATCTCATAACCACCACCACCACCATGCTCTTCCGGGTCCGCAGCCGCACATGGCTCTTCCTCCGCCGGAGCACCACCTCGCTCTTCCGGGGCCGCCGCCGCGCTTGGCCCTTCCCCCTCCGGAGTACCACCACGCGCCGCCAGGTGGATATTATTATCCTCCGCCTCATAATGGTGGTTACTTCAGTGATGAAAATCCAAACGGCTGCATGATTATGTGAGATGGGGGATTGATTTTCTTTACACTATTCTTTTGCATATTTTTTCCATGGTCCAATTTATTTTATTTTTTTTCTTTTTTTTTGGTATTTAATAATTTCTTGATGCAATTATTTTCCAGTTTATTAATTCTTATGAGAAATTATATCACAATAAATGAATAAATACTATTGTTTTTTTTGTTCATTCCATTGCATCCATAAAGGAGTTTATATTTACTTGTAAGGTTTTATTTACAATCAATGATCACACACATATATACGAAAATGTGTATAAAATATGTATGAATTGTAAAAACACGAAAAAAAGTGTTCGATGTCGAATTTTTAGAACATTCACCGAAAAACTTTATACAAAAGTAAGCTACTATCCTAATTCCTAAATTTTATACAAAAACTTTTGCAAATACAACACAAATGTAAGATCTCGAAAATACGATTGCTTCAGAAAACAAAATGTATGATCGTTGAAAATGTATTCGATTTCAAAGCCTCGACGTGCAATTTAGAATGATTAATTTAACCTGAGACTTAAAATTTTCATTATCTCACCAGACAATGCTTCCAAAGTATGTTTCTCAAGGATAATTGAATAAAAACATAATTGACCCTTAAGAAACAAGAAAAAAGCAAGAGATAATTAATAAACAAAGAGCACAAGTAAATATCAATTCAAATGGATTAACAAATATTAATACTCTCTGCATCAAGGCTACAAAAGATACTAGACTCCATCATTTTTTTTTCTTTTTTTTTTTTTTTTGCATTGGGATTGAAATGATAAATCGAAATAATAACCGACACTCTGCTCCAGAAACGTTGATCCCGGAAATCAACTCTTCCATATTTTGCATCCAAGAAAATTATTTCAAGACAATCAATCACCTCTGCATACTTTTTTTCCACACGAGCTCTTTGCACATTAAGGAGGAGCGCTAAATAGAAGTATATGTCGATCCTATTACAAGAGGAGAGGCAACAAATTAGTTGAAACAAACAGTACACATGTGACACATTACACAATCATATGAGATAAGTTAGAAGGTCGAAATGGGCATTAAAACAAGTATATCGATATTTAAAGTGTAATTTTAAGAGAACTTTTTTTTGGAATTTTCGGAATTAAAATTGGAATTGGAATGTAATACTAATCCAATTCCGTTTCAAAAAAAAATGGAAAAATCGAATATCGCAACTTCCATAATTCAAAATGAAAAAATACTGTTCCAAAATAAAAAAATATTCAAAACGGAATTGGCGGAATTCAAAATTCCAATTTCCATCCCCAGCGAACTTATAAGCTACAAAGAAAGACATCACTTTGATTTACTCATCTATAGGTCACTTGCAAAAGAATATTGTCTATTACCCCCATCGAATATATTTGAGTTAAATCAAAGCTCAACTGTTTAAATATATACGGAAAATAAAACCAACTTTCTACGACTAAATCATGCTTTTTACTCACAATGTGTGTGTGTGAGAGAGGGATGGAGGGAGGGGGAGAGAGAGACCTCAGGCACATCTAGGAAGGTAAACTCTGATAAGGTCCTTGACAGTCGTTTTTCTCCGGCAAGTAGGACACTTGCTCTGAGCAGCTATGGCGGCTTTAATGCAACCCTTGCAGAAAATATGACCACACTTTGTCGAAGTCTCCTCAACTAGTGGGCCCATGCAAACTGCACAGCTGAATACAGGCTCTTTCGGTGGCGGTGGAGGTGGTGGAGGAGCCACTACCGCACTCTGTCCGCTCTTTCTCTAATTTCATACATCAAAATAAATATTTGTCTGAACAAACACTGAACCATGATAATAAACCAGTTACATTAAAAAAAAGAAGAAGAAAAGATTATTACCGTTGAGTTGTTGCTACTGCCTTCAAGGTTTATGTAAAGGTCGCAATTTATAATCGTTTGGTTTGAAGGAGCCCTTCTCCGCTTGCGTGATAGCCTTTCATCTGTAACAACTATAATAACAAAAATGACATCAGCAAACAAATTATCCAGTATGTAAAAACAAGAATGAAGAGAACATAAATCAGTTTTTTTTTTTTTTTTACAATAGTTAAATAAATTACCAGAGTCTACGTCAACCACGATAGCACGATCAAGGTTCCTTCTGGCATTGTTTTTTGCCTGAAATAAAAGTTGTTCATAGAAATTTTATTAAACTTGAATAAATAAAGGAACAAGAAAGAAAGAAAGAAAGAAAGAAAGAGATAAATGGTATGTTAAATACTTCCGCAAATGCCCTTGGAGAAGAAATAATGACATCATCATCTAACGCCTCTACATCAATAGGTGGAGGCAGTACTGTAGCGCCTCCTTGTTGAAATGCTTGGCTATCCTGTGATGGCGGCACAGTGTTAAGATCAACATCTAACATTTGTCTCCTTCTTGCCCTAGTATATATCCTAACTTGTTCCTGACCGCTCATTATATGTCGAATGGGAGCTACTCAAATTTCCTGAGAATCATCCATAACAAACAATCTTCAATCCAACGGTGGGTAATAAATATCAAATGAATGTCCAGAATCTGGACGCAGAAATGTTGTGATGTTATACTAGTAGAGAAAAAAATTAATCAACTTTTGCGCCAAAATTTCCTTAAAAGTGAGATATTTAATTTAATCAAAGCTTCAAGATTTAATAGATCAACGGTGAAGAATTATTTCATATAAACCAAACTCAACCACTTTCGAGTTCAAATTATGAGCCACGTCACCACGAAAAAAATTGTGAATTATTTCAAAATTAATAGTGGCAAATAAGGACTAGCATTTCGAGATCGATTTTATTTGGGTCAAGAGCCTATAGAGCAGAACCATATGCCCCAAGTTTGATATAAACCAGCAGTATCAACTTTCTCGTGTCAAGTCAGATGGTTTTTCAAATCAATTAAAAGTCATTTACGTTAAGAGTTGCATAATTTAAAAAAAAAAAAATCACTGTTGATATGAGACAGCTCGATGTAGAACAGGGCTCAAGAAAATGCCAAGTCAACAACAGGAGTAGTTGCCCAAATTCAAGCCTGTCAGCATACATATTGCACAATCAAATCTTGCGGGTGATAAATTCACATGTTCCTAAAACACATTGCTCAAGGCGCAATGAAAACAAATCCGCTGCCTTTTGTTCTTCAAAGGATTCTTTGCTAATTCAGGGAAAAACAGGACACTTTTAAAACTATAAACCATCCAATTTTAATCACATCGATGCCATATTGCACTCTTAACCCTTTACAATCAATCCAAGATTTAACCAATTTAATCAAATTATCTTTTACATTTTTTTATATTTTTAACCATTCCATCACATTTCTCGAACCCATACATTTTAAACACTAGACTGAAACTAATAAAACATCACTCTCCTCTTTGATTGGTAGGCGACCAATCAGTAACGATGATGCAGAAAAGTAAAGTATAACACACTCTGTTCATAAGTATCACAAGTAATTGCCCAACAATCGACCTCGCTCCAATCAATAAAACGGCACTGTAAAATCCAATCTTTTCTAAAAAAAATCTCAAGATCATGTGAAAATAACACCAAACTCCACAAAGAGAGTTTTTGTTAAAAATCCAATCTTTGCTAAAAAAAATTCTGGAGATTATGGGAAATCCGTGTTTTTTTTTAACGAAAAATCCGTCAAGTACAAGCGTAAAGTTGAATACTTCTAATCCCAATAACCCTAAAAATAAAATGTATGAAAAAACCCTAACTCCCGAGAAAAAACCTATGATCGGAAACAAAATAAAATCGAAAAAAAAATACTAAATCTGTAAAACCCCAACCACATAACAGCGTCAAAAAGAAAGAAAAAAAATCCGTAAACTCAAAATTAACATCGAGAGTGCAAAATTGACATAAACAATCAGAAACGCACAAAACAAAAATAAGTATCCATTTCTTTCAACTTGCGATGATTCGAGAAGCGGAGGCTAACCTGATTTCGTCGAATTGTTAACCAGCGAAGAATTGAGCGCTGTAAGTATATGTGCACCTATATATACTTTTTCAATTTTAATGAAAGAAAAATGTTTTAAATAGGGAGGAAGGGAGAGAGAAAGAAAGAGGAAGAGGGTTTTCTAATTTCCTTTTATAATACATAATAAATGCAGACATTTTTTCCTCACACAGTAGAGGAGAGGTGCGTGTTTTGCTTTTCAATTCTGTGGTGACACGTGCGTCACCACGTGCGAATTTTGAACGCCGCTGTTAACTTTTTAATTCTCTCCAAATCCAACATTTTCACACGTAAAATTACAAGATTACCCTTGGCTTGACATGAATTTTGTTGAATTTGGCTACAATGGCCACACATTTGACATTCATTATACATGTTTTACAGTCTATTTTAATTTTACTAATTGGTAGCTTTATTTTTTAAATTTATTTTTGAAAAGAAAAAAAAAAAACAATAACTTTTGTATTCTTTGTTGTCGATTGCATGATTTCCAGTTCGAGGTTGACTCGTTTTTTTTTTCTCTTGATTGGTAACTTTTGAGTCGTCATTTATACGTCATTTTGTCGTAGAGTTTATATACATTAATTTATCGAGATTCTACTATATATATTCTTCAAACAATTTGAATCAACGATTTCCAAAATCCCTATCGAGATTCTACTATATATATTCTTCAAACAATTTGAATCAACGATTTCCGAAATCCCGAAATTTCCGTAATTCGCTTGCAATTGTCTCGAACCATCTTTCAATTGCATCAAAATTGACATTTTTTTTAAAAGAAAACAAATACTACAAGAGAGACTATTGCAGCTGTACATAAACATTAAACTCAACCTGTTTGAAACTGAGATTTAGAACACAAATTTGCATTACATAAATCAAATTATAAAAAAAAAAAAAAAAAAAAAAAAGCTATCTTCTGAAAATAGACAATCATCTTATTGTCAATCACTATTACAGACAAATTATAAAAATAAAAAATAAAATAAAATAAAAAACCTCAGTTGAAGTCAACATCAGACATCTAAGAAAAGCAGAATTACATTTGAAAAAAAAATAAGTAAGATACAAATTGGATTATGAAATAGAGAATTTCATCACAAGAGTTTCTCAGTTAACCTGATCATGAATGAATTCACAGCAATCGCCTCCAAAACAATCCACGAAGATTCGAAAAGCTCGTGGAAGTACTCAGCTCCCGTTTCTTCAGCGGCACTTCTAAACGCTATCCCGAACGCATTCCCTTGTACAGCACCTAGTCGAGGCTTGCCACAAACACCGACAATCAACACTTTCTTCTGCTCTTGCGTATAGCAAACACACACCAACGGCTTCATTCTCGCACCCTTCTCTCGTAAAGCATCCATCAGAAAAAACCCGAATTTAGTCAACGCTTGAGGGTAGCACAGAAGCTTCGTATCGGCCGAATCTTCGAGTTTCACCCATCGAAACTTACTCCCGCTTCTTATTGAACCCTTCTTTGTTATGGCAGTGCTGCCTTGTCTGAGAACAGCCCTTTGAACCTTAATCGCCTGACGCATTCCGATATCCAGCTTCTCGAGTTTGTTTAATGATAAAGCATCGTAAGCTGCGCCAAAATGCTTCGAACTAGATGAACCGTCGGATTCCACGGAAGATTCTAGAAGGGCAGTGACTCCATACACAACGTCCGCAGCAGAGACTTTCGAGCTGTAGCCATGCAATAGCAAGAAACCTCTGTAGTAGAAATTTGTTAGCCCAAACTCCGGTAAGTACTGTTCGAACATTTCCTTCATTCTCCGTTTGATTTCGACGCTCATGAACTGGAATTTCTGTTTGCACTCTTCCCTTGCAAACCCCATTCGAGCCAAAAGAAGCTGCATCTTTTTCAGCCCGTTGTCGCTCCAAGTTTTCAGCTTAGTGGCAATGTAAGAGGAACATAGCATCGAGTCGAACAAGTTCCATTCTTGCAGCAACATCAACCTAGGTTCATCCTCGTACGAGATTCTTGAAGCATCGGGCACGTTTACCTTTGTGCCGTCTTTTAGCGTGACCGAAGTAACAGCATCCAAGTTTCCCGAGCTGTTAATGTGCTGTTCGAGCTCCATAACTGCATGATTGTATCTCTCGTCTGGTAATCTCTCGTGTACGTACTGATCGGTTAAAGCAACACACGCCAACCACAGCAACTCGTTCTTGTTCTTTCTCAACGAATGAGAGAGCTCGTACATCAAACATCCAGATGACTTACCATGATAAGTACCCGTATAGTAATACTTTTTCCTCAACTTTCTGAAAAGTTTATCGGGATTGCTCTCGTTTTCCGCCGACAGTCTCCTTCTCTTTCTACCCCCACTCCCACCCCCACCCTCACCCTCGCCCCCATCACTATCACTCTCGTTTTCATCCTCACTATCCGAATCATCCTCAATCTCAACCTCATCGGTACTGTTCAAATCACTCTCATTAGCAACAACCGATACATCGAAATCATACTCCACGTCGGCGTTGCTCTCGTCCTCCTTCATGTAAAGCACCACCACACGATCGTTCTTGTCGCTCAAATTGTGCAAATGAATCGGCCTGTGGCTATCGAGAACGAAAACACGGGCCGACGGCCCGATCTGCAGATCTCTCCTGAGATTCCTATGGCAGCCCCAATTGATCAACAAAATGGTGATGGGCTCGTCGGAGGGTGAAGTTAGGTTAGGGCCAGCGTATTTGTGAATTTCTTTAAAAGTCGAAACTGGGTAACAAGCATACCTAATTGAATCGGATTCTAGAACGTGCCCTATAATTTTCAAAGCACATAGTGAATCTACATCTGAGGTTGAGGGGAAGATTAACAGAGGAGCGGATGAAGCTGAGGCTAGAGCCGAATCCCTCAGGCGCGTGTAAAACGACACAACACTCAACTCCCTCACCATATTTTTTTTTCAATTGGGTAACCTCAATTTCAACAAAAAAATAATGTTTTCCCTCATGAAACAATTAAATCTCACCTCAACGCTCCAAATCGAGACAATTAATTGCACGACAAGCACAAATTAACAACAACAAAAAAAAGGTTAATGCGAGAATTTCTAACCGGATCCAGATTAACTGATTGGAACGGAGGCGAAACAATTCAGCAGGTATCGATTTGGGGGTTTTTGTGAATGTACCTGAAAAGGGGGTTTCGAATCGAATTCAGATTAGCAGCCCTATTTCTTCTGCTTCAATTTCAGCTGTAATGGGGGGCGGTGAAACAAAAGGAGGGAGAAATGTGTTTTGAATTGATATTTGAACCCCCGTTGACGTTTTCTCCTCAATTTGATATCAAGATTGAAATTTTGAAATGTTTCGAAAATTTTGAGTTACCGCCAAAAATTGGCGCGAATTGTTTTTTTTTTCAGCGTATTTTTTGGTCAAAGACGGAAATGCCCTCGAATCATGGTGTTCTAGATCTACTTTATATCAGTTGTCACATGCCTAACCCTTACCTACGTGGAATTGGTGCAAAATGAAATATTCAATTAATCGAATTCGAATTTTTTTTTCGAAATGTATGAGCGCATATATAATTTACTGATTCATCGCCGTCTGTTCTTGGTCCGACAAGTAAAAGGTTAGTGTTTGAAGGCAGGTCTCGAGCGTGCAAATTTTGATCCATTTAAATTAACTAGCAAATTACAAGTAATTGATATACTATATATTGTACAAACACTTCAATTTTTTGAAGTATTCGCGTGTCATAAATTTTTCCATGTCGAACACTTGTTGAACCGTTTTTGTAATTTCATAAACACACATTTCAACAGCAAAACGGTAATTGAAATTACAAATTTATTTAAATATATTTGTACGAAAATTCGAAACAAGTGAATAGTACAAGTGGAAGACACGAGTAAAAGACGAAGATCAAAGTAACAATAAAACCACTGGAATTTATAAAAAAAAAATAAAAAAAAAATAAAAGCCAGACAAATGAATGAAAGCAGCAAACTATGAAGAATCCCATGTAACTGTCAACAGAATCACACTCAACGCCACCGTCTCCGATATATTTCAAGAATAGCCATTTGCGGTTACTTGCGCCAGAAGAAAACGTAACGGTGCCAGAAAGGCGTGGGTTTCTGCATTAAACCATAAAATACAAGAAAATGTAAGTCTTACTAGTCATCATCATATATAAGCAACGGCAGAGCCAAAACAAAGCTATATTGGGGGGCCATGGCCCCCATCGCTTCACAATTAGTTGCACTAGATCAAGAAATACGAGAATATTGCATGAAAAAGAAAAACACATAATTAAATATGCTTGAAGAAAAATTACCTTAGATACATCCCACTGTTGAGCTCGTTGGCCGCCATTGACTGCACGGTTTGGAGTAGTGGACGAATTTCGGGTCCCGCCATTCTTATCGTCACGCACTTTCTCGAATATGTCGGTGTAATTTTGTGCCGACTCGAGATTGTTGTCGTTCCAATCATATGCTGGAATAGCTGCACCCCCTCTTTCGGGCTATATAAACACACACACGTTTTACAATGCCATCGATTATTAGGGAAAATTGAGTATAGTGATAATCTAATAGTTCATTGCATTTAGTATGCTTATGATGTTATATCGAATTACTAAACAACCCTCCGTGCTATAAATATTAGCAAAAAGCATCCTATGATGTATTTTCGTTTAGCACACGACCCCTTAAATGGTAATTTTTTGGGGCACTTTGCTAAAAAAAATTATCATAAGGAGTTTTTGGTAATATTTATAACACGGTGACTTTTCTAGCAATTAGACTAAACAGGAGTGTTCAATGCAGTAAACCCGACAATCTTAGGAACCAAACGAGGCCTTGGGATTCAATTATATAGTCGAATGCGGGCCCCATGCACAATTCTCAAATAAATCAACAGTCTAAAAAATTATTGGACTTATCTTGGCAATAAAAGTAATTAAAAACCAATATGGATATATGAAATCTTACACTTTCATCGAATCGGGTTGGCTTATGTCGAGACCTATCGGGGGTCCGTCCGCCCCTCCCGGCGGCGGGAGCAGCTTTCGCCGGATGAAGTGGCGAGTTATCAAAGCCTAGGTCCGATCCTACACTGGGCCTTGTGGATCGGGCCGGCCTCTGCCCACCACGGGCCGCACCGTGATTCGATTCGTTAACGGGCCGTGGGCCCGTATTTTCATAGTTACTAGACTGCCTAAAGTTACCATTTTCTCTTCCCCTTCCGATAGGATCTTCTGGTCTAGCTCTCGGCTTCGGTGGAGGGTCCATAGTGGGAAACATGTCCGGATTTTCTTGGGGGTCGTTTGGATTGATCATTTTTCCACCCCTATTTTTCCTTGCGTTCTCGAAGCAAACCGTGAAAGGTACGTCGCCCTGGTTCCAATCGCCAAATTTTGGCACATTTGAACGGTGCTGAATTTATACCACGAAAAGTAGTTTGTGTTATTCCCTTCGGTTATAAATATATATATGCACACTTTGACATAGTAAGCAGCAAAACCAATAGATCGAAATAACTAAGCGCGCTTCGTAAAAAAGCAACATTCAACGGCTTTATAAACCTCAAAATATATAGGCAAAATGATCGGCTAAAACGTACTACATCTAGATCCTATTCGAACACGATTTTCGTTTCTCGGCAAAATTTTCGAATAGGTCACAATAAAATTTCCTTTATCTAATTAAACCCCACAAATGTAAATATATATTATAATGAAATGAACTGTGAGAATCAAATTCAAATCAAACATTTAATCTGATCATATTTTATTTTTTTTGGCTGAGTTGACCTCAGATTTGTCGATCATTAATTAGATTGAAGAAGACAAACAGTGAACCGTACCCTCAAATAGTCATATGTAATAAAAATTATAAAATGACAGCTACAATATTGTAAGAACAAGAACATATATATATAATATATATATATATTAAACCACGATTAATTTCCTGAAATCCCATAAACAACAAGGTCAATTAATTTTGCAAACCCAGCAGGAGACAAATAAATAAATAAAGAGAGAGAGAGATG